GTCACTTCAATGACGTCATATAGGGTGTGATGTGTATGATATACACGTACATGTATATGCAAACGAATAATCTTTGATAAAATGTAGACATAACTTATTTACTGTCCGTATTTCATACTATGTAAGTATCAAAACAGATCAAATTTCAAGCACCACTAGACAGTTAGGTGTTTTGTTCCGGTTTAGTTTTGTATAATTGCTACGAATGCATGGTACTTCACTAAAATCATCACTGATGTTTTGGCTACAAAAGAAATTGCGTAGGTTTTGTCAACACTTCGTGAATTTAAAAGCACGGACAGTTACATGTACGTATGATCTCATGTAATGAGTAACTATATAATAAAACAAATGATCACATATCCGCTAAATACTTAATATTTTGACGTGACGTCATTTGCGTCATACAAACAAACCGTTAAGACGCGCCAAATGTACGCGTTACAATACAATATCCTCCAAAAGCCTCGCTTCATTTTCAGAGAACCATAATATCTATACTAATTGATATCTTGCTCCATATAGCAATCGTTTTCAATTCCAGGGTCCAAAATATCTATATCAAATGTATATCGTACCCCTTTTAGCCTCGTTTTCATTTTCGGGGTCGACAATTCATATCAATGCCATATTGTACTTAAAGTATCAAAGTTATGTCAAAAGGTTAATGTATAAAATAGATCGTCAATGTATTTTGCCGAGAACAGTACTGATTCTATTGGACTCGTACACCGCTGCAAACCTTATAACAGCCTCGTCCAATATAGGTTTGACAGCTGGGTACTGTCCTATAGAATTCAGTATTGTACTCAACAATGTATAATAACCTCATCATATTCGAGTCTCCGGCGAACATACTATTAATTTATTCAGTGAGTTCAATACATGTACTAAATGAAGCTATATACTAACATATTCCAGAACAGTTGAAAATTGGAAACGGTTTTTCATTGACACTTTAAAATGTAACACGTTTGTCTTTCTTCGTGTAATGCTTATATAGCGCATATGACGTGACGTCAAACTATCTATACGCGGTCGAGCAATACCGTTTCTATTCGGAGTCGAAAAATTGTACAGGTGCGTGATAAGCATGATTTACGTTTCTTCGTGTTTTCCGATATATAGAGGATATTTGTTTGTTTGTGTGTAAGATGAAATTTTATTTCATCGAGTGGGCTTTAAAAACAGTATTCTGACGAGTGGCGTAGCCACGAGTGAGAATACTGTTTTTAAAGTTCACGAGATGAAATAAAATTACATCTTACACAACAAACAGACAAATTTTCTTTTTATTTTATGCTTAAAAACAAGTTAAAACGAAATTTCCATAATTTTAATGTTAATATTAAAATCTGTTTCCCCCATTGAGAGCCCCATTTAGACGGAATTTCTCATTAAAAACAAGAAGTCTTGAGCTGAAAAATAAGTCCGCCAATCAAGGTTAAATGACGGTGATATTTATTCATTTTATTAAAAAAATATGAATGATCGCTTGTTTTAATAATAAAAACAAACAATTCTTGTAGGAAAAAAAGTCCAACCATCCATCCATATTTCTGTTACTTACTGCGAATTTATATTAGACCTGACTTTGTAAAATGTAAGCGGCAGCCATTTTTTAAAGTTGTGTATTTCATGGGAGGAAAATAATTGTGTAAGATTCAGAGGGATATAATTTGGATTTGTTAGTCATACACCTTTTTAAAAGAAAGAAAACTTATTTGAGGATTGTAACAGACAAAAAATAAGTGTTGACAGAAGTGAAAACATTCAGAAAGGGAGATAGGAAAATGGAAAACTTGGAAGCTTGCTAAGGAACGCTGGGTTGTTTTAGTTATTCTACGAGTGGTGGCTGTCAATGCTTTTCAATTTTTCATAAAGCATACGGCAGTTATTGCTCGTAGGATACTTTAATATGCCCAAACGTCATCAAGAGCAGTTTTGCATGGGGAAGGAATGTATTTTTCAGACTGCAAAAACGAAACAAAAAAATTTAGAGACGAAATTTGGTGATTGGAATTTGAATGAATAGAAGTAAGTTTTCTCTCTTTATTACTTTTGACATTTAAGTTATTTATCTATTTCAGCTTTGCGATTTCTTTTAACAGTCTGACATTGTCAGAATTGTCAGTAAAAATAAAATTGAGGTACCACATGGGGAAAATCTTAAAAAAGTATTTACGTCATTGAAAAAAGTGAAATTATATTTTGATAATTTTCACTGTGAAATTATCAAATATAATTTTCACGGATAAATCAGTAATCCACTGCAAAGCATAAAATAAATTGAAATAAAACTTGAAAACTTGATACAAAGTAGTTACAATACACAGTAAATCGGACGCCATGATGTATAAAATATCGATCCCAAAGCTTTTGAAAATACAAATATTAAAAAAAAATGATAAAAATAAAATAACGATCGAAAAACTAAGAAACATTTTGGTCGAAAACATGACTTTTAAATAGTATATTATAAGTTATAAGTAAAGTTGCTGATTGGATTTACGGGAGAATAAAGACTGAATGAACTAAATATAACCCGAGGTACTTGCCAAGGCCTTCATAAAATTCCGAAATGCTTTATTCTCCCATATATTCAACCAGCTATTTGTATAACGAATATAAAATTCTACAATTTTTATTGATAAGTTCATAAAAAAAACCCAGCAAATTACGACCGTTCTCAGTGAAACGCGGTAAAAAGAAGCGCGGAAAGAAGATGGTGGAAGATGAACGGTGTCCAAACAAAAGATATTCAAAGTATGTGATATGTGTATTATTATCATTGCGGTATAACTTGTAACTATTTTACTAAAATCACGATATTTGGGTAATGAACAGAACGCATCAATTATTATGCAGACAATATTTTTATTCGCGTGCGAATTCGAAGTTCGTTCTTTACAGCATGTACTGCATAGCATACACAGTGTTTTAGCCAAAAATTCAAGAAATTTATTTGTTATAATAATAAAACATAATATGTTTGACATTTATAGATATACTAAGTGCTTTGCTTTAAATAGTTGAAACATATATATATATATATATATATATATATATATATATATATATATATATATATATATATATATATATATATATATATATATATATATATATATATATATATATATATATATATATATATATATATATATATATAATATATATGTTTCAACTATTTAAAGCAAAGCACTTAGTCTAACTGAAGAAGAAAAACCTTGATTGTTGGATGAATAATTGGATGAGTGAAAGGTGCGCGTAAGTTAGAATGGATGAATGGAAGGACGGACGTGTCGGCGGACGGACGGACGGATAAAAAACTTTTCTTTACCGATATATAATTATATAGTTTCCTTACACGATCTTTAATCAGTTGATTATAAAGGCGTTCATATAGTAGAAAAAATATAAGTAGTGCGAAAAATTTCAAATCAAATAAATAAGTTATGTTGGTTAATATTGGGGAAACGTGGGCGTTACTTTAAAGAAAAGTATTTTTAACATAAACTCAAAAATGAAAACGTTTAACTGTTGAAAAAATATGTTTCACTATTCACCTTAAGTAGATAATAATACATGTTATTATAATAAAGTTATACAGTATCAGTCAAAACGGTGGCAATAAAATAAAGTATGTATAATAAATAAAGTAAAATAAAGAATAAAAGGTCGCATTAAAACATACCAGTTACATGTCTTTTTCAAACACTATCCAAAATTCAGATATAAATTCAACATAACCTTTACCAATTATTTTATACTTGGCAAGAAAGCGCATTGTTGATCAACCTTAAAAAACTTAAGGCACACTGTATACGCGTGATTTCCATATTAATCAGAATTTGAGTATAACAGGTAATATTTTTGTGTACAAATACATTTTTTGTTGATTTTGTTTTGATATAAATGTTTATAGACAAATTATAAGTAAACAAAATTTTTATTTCTCACTAACACAGTAAAAGTGTTATGGCGACTTTCCAGCTCCACTAATTGAGGAAAGCCCCAGGTGCCCGTTCGTGCCTTATTTCAAGCACGAACGGGCACCTGAGTAGAACCATCGACATTCCGTTAGCAAGCTGGTTAGAAAAATGATTGATTGATTTGGTTGGTTGATTGATTGATTGATTGATTGATTGATTGATTGCCTTTATGATTATCAAAAAGATTGTTGATGGCACATTATGCCCAAGAAATGATTTCATTTAGGTATTTATTTCTATATCCCTTTCTGGTTTCCAGAAAGTAACCAATTGGCCAACTACTTTAATAATATTTTGCTTTTGTTGCTTTTTGGTTATTAGTACTGTTAAAGTGATTAAGTATTCTAAATGGAAGTTAAACTATTACACGCTATTTGTTTTGCATTAAAGCCGTATTTTAAAGGCCCATTATGGCACAGAAATACTTTTATTTTAATTTGTTAAAACCTTTCTAGTTTTAGCTTTCTTTTATAGTTTCCACAAAGTTTTTTATTATTTTGCAATCAGTACAGTTATAGTGATTAAGTATTTTGTATTAAAGTCAAAATACTACTTTCTCTACATTTTGCTACTTTTATAACATATAATTTCACATCTAGCACTACTGTCTTCAGGTAACAAGCATCTAACATGGCTCTAAAACAATTATTTAAAAATTACAAAATTCATGGATGCTCTTTCTAAAAGAAGTTAAAATTTATTTGTTTCTGAGGCATACTGTGCCTTTAAGACAAATAATTCTTCACTCGGTGCTACTTTCTTCAGTTGATACGCTTCCAACATGCTCTAAAACCATTATATTAACAATGTTATAAAACTCTATGTTTGCCGTTCTATAGAAGGGGAAAAAAAGTTTCTTAGGCATATTGTGCCTTTAAAATATTACAAACATCTGTGTTGCATTACCTGAACAACAGCGTAACATTATATAATGATATAATGTATAAATCTATCATAGTAATATATATACATACATAACACATAATATAGATTTAAATACCTTACCTCTACTGGATTCGCATGAGTAGACACAAATGCAGACGACAATCAGGCTTCTTACAAACAATGACATAATTGTTCCTTTTAATTAACTGTCTATATCACCAAATACAGGTATTACACGCGCAAATAAATTCGTCCGCAAGATACGAATATAGTTCGTTCTACAGATATTTTATTTACCCTTGTAGCGTATTTCTTATTTTTGCACTGTTGCCAAACAAACGTATACTACTGAGTGTTAAATAGAGTGACTGTTGATCACATATAAATAGAGACATTAGGCTGTACACTCAAAACTTACATCAAGTAGTCTAATCACATGATTAAATTGGCTTACATCCGTTTTTCTAACGCTACACTAGAAATTAATCACCATGAACGTAAAATAGATCCTGAACGGTTACGTGAGCTATATCTGTGTTGTGTAAACACTAAATTATAAAGATTGCACTAGTTCTTATGTCATTATAATTATAACGTTGTTTAAATGTCTGATTACCGGAAGTCATATTAATGACGTCAAATATAACGTATAAAAAGGCGCGTCACGCTAAATTGACGTTAATATTGGCATAATATTCTATGTACATGCATATGTACGTAACATTCTGACAATAATGACGAAATATTTTCTTTACAATCTGCTGATCAAAAGTTCACAAATGTAAGCTCTTTAAATCCAGGTGTCGTAGGTTTGATGCTCGGGCGAGAACGAATTTCATTTCTCTGTGACAATTAATCACTCTCGAAACTTTGTTTGGTCTCTTTCTGCTGGTTTAGAAAATTAATATCATGTGGGTTTAGAAGTCGGTCACTTGCAGAGATTTTGGTAATAATTAGAAATCTACTGGTTAATTATCCAGTTTAGCCGGTTTGGTGGATCGACAGTCGTAGTTTGAGTAAAAAATGTGTTAAAATCTGCATAAAATACAGAAAACCAAACCAAACCATCAAAACTCTTAAAGAAGTTCAAAATGGCGGTAATACAAGAAGCTCAATTGCAATATACAACGGCTTAGAGATAGCCTGCATATAATTGAGGTCATCCTAAAACAGTCTTTGGCAGAAGTAACTGACTTCCCTAGACACAAATACGCTTTCAGTATTGGTTTTTAAATATCATTATATAAGCTTTATATAGAGGTTTTCCTTAATACAAGTAATCTTTTTCCTTAAGAACAAAGTAACTGCATTCCTTTAAAGTGTTAAGAGCACAGCCTTTCTAAAGAAGTCTTGCAATATCTCATTTAAACGGCTTAAACAATCTTATCTAAGCTCAGAGAAGCGAGCTTCCGTAAGCACTCTTAATAATCCTTTATATAAAGAGGGACGGTAAATAAGATTCTAGCTAAAGCAGTCCTTCGTTAGCCTTCCTTAAGGTGATTCAGGAATGTAGCACATTCAAGGTAAATTTTCTTATTGTTATCATTTTTATTTTTGTTTAAAATAGTCTTTAAAACATAGAACTGGAAGTGTACTTGCAAATGGCTCATCATATAACTATGTGAGCTTTGTTGTTATATGAATTTTGGCCTACTTTCACTTTGGACCCTCATAGTGCTGACAAAGCGGAATCACCTTAACCTCCCTTTGCTGTCTTATTTTATCTGCAAATAAACGGCATTCCAAGCGAACATTTTTGTCATGTAACGGAAACTCCTAAGAAGTTTTACAGAAGTAAAACGCATCCGGATCGAATTGATTTATTTAATATATTTTGAATAAAAGTAATACTAAGAACGATCTTGATGTAATTGATATTACAATATTATTATGCAATATAAGACCTCTAAAAGCTAATTTATAATTTTGTTCTTGCGGCTATCTTACTTTACAGCTGAACCTGACCTTCAAACTTATCTATACATAACTTGCATTTGTATGTAAATATGTACAGAAAGAACGCGTGACAGCATAATAATGCCACTGTTCTAGTTTAAATTTCTGTTGAACACTCGATGATTTACGTTTCTTTAAAGTGACATTATGCCCATCCATGGGTAGATATAGGGTGAACAGATGAAAGTCAAAACAAGTTAACATTTTCTCATAATTCCTGTCAATTTTATAATTTACTTCAAATGAACGATAAATAACTCACTAGGCCCTGTGAAATGTGTGTGTAATTATCCGTCGGAATATCTAACTTTCAATTCATAAAAAAGAGTGGGACAGTCTTTTTATATATTTAGGTAAATTTATCTTTTACCCTAAACATTTTCAAATATCATGTGTTGGTCAATTTCCATTATAACGACCAGTTTATTGAAATATATAGTCAATAAAAGTCAATTTGACAATGAAAAAGTGAGCATAATGTCACTTTAACATGACCACTTAAGACTGATTGACCCTTAACGTGTTGGACTGAAAGTGATTTGCAACTAGTTTAAATTACCACTAGTATTATTTGCCACTAGTTTAAATTACTGCTAGTATAATTTACCACTGGTATAATTTGCCACTCGTATAATTTGCCACTCGTGTAATTTGCCACTTGAATATTTTGCCACTGATATAATTTGCCACTGGTATAATTGCCACTAGTGTAATTTGCCACTGGTATAATGAGACTAGAATCACACTATTATTAGCAGCTCACTTTTGCATTTTGAATTTCTATACAGTAATATGAATAAGACAATGTTTTGAGCGTCAATATAAATTTAAAAAAGAATACATTTCAATGCATTTGCTGTCCGAACTTAGAATTAAGATTGCTATATTTTGCAATTTTCTAACTTCTGTGTCGCATTAACTTTGAAGCAAAACTATAAGGTTTTCGTAGTAATTATTATCCTTTGTTAAATAATTCCTTACTCCAACCAAAGTATTCACACATATACAATGAGATTATTCCATGAACATATTAATAAAATAACGACCGTATATGTCCGTGTTATTGCTTAGTCTTTATTAAATACATGTATAACAATCACTTTAAATCCTTTATATTCAATTTTAGTAATAAAATATATCTAGCTCACTTGATAAGTCAGTATCTATTCAGGATATTAAATCAAATGTGATAAATTCAACTTATATATAAGTGGCTATTGATACAATACAATGTAAAAACGTGAGACAATTTGTCTTCATTTTCGCACGTAATTAAACGTACACAAAACAAAGCGTTCTTGTATTCATTTAAACAATAGTGAAAGAGACAAATTAATGTGAAACTAGCCAAAACCAGTCAAATAAATCAATGAAAATAAAAAGACAATAACAAAAAAAATGTACTTAGTACTCAAGACGCAATATGTTCTAACCTCTGGGAATACGGACAAGATGACCACACTCATGGTGATAAGCCTTTTTAGAAATTCTTAAAGAAAACCAGTTCTCTGTTATAGCCTCTGAGAATAAAGTTAAGCTGACCAAACCCTTAGTGATAGGCATTTTTAGTAGTTCTTAATTGAAAACTAAAAACATTTCTAGCCTCAGGGAAAAAAGTCAAGCTGACCAAACACACGGTGATACGCCTTTTTAGTACATGTAGTTCTCAACGAAATTCCAAGAACCTTTCAAGCGTCAGGGAATACAATTGATCTCACCGAATTCACGATGATAGGCCTTTTTAGTAGTTCTTAACCGAAAACTAAGTCCGGTCCTAGAGTCTGGGAATACAATAACGCTGATCAAACCTCAGTGATAGGCCTATTAATAAGTTTTTCATGACGGATAACCAAAAACCTTTCTAGTCTCAGGGAATACCTTCAAGTTGACCAAACCCATGGTGATGGGCTTTTAAGTAGTTCTTAGTGCAAAACCAAGCCCGGTTCTAGGCCTTAAGAATTTAATCACATTTACCGAATCCACGGTGATATGCATTTTTAGTAAATTTAAACGGAAAACCAAAAAATTAAGAAAATGCCATGAAGTTGACCAAACCCTCGGTGATGAGACTTTGTACTAGTTCTTAACGGAAAACCAAGCCGGCTTCTTGCCTCGAGGAATACAGTCAAGTTGACCAAACCCACGGTGATAGGCCTGTTTAGTAGTTCTTAACGCGAAACCAAACGAGATTCTGGCCTCTAGCCTCATGGAATACAATCAAGCTAACCAAACCTACGGTGATATGCCATATTAGTAGTTCTTAACGGAAAACCAAACAACTTTCTAGCTTCTGGACAGTATAGAAGTTTTTAGTTGTTTTTAAGGGAAAACCAAGAACCTTACTAGCCTTATGGAATACAGCCAAGCTGACCAAACCCACGGTGATGGTTTTTTTTACAAATTTTTAACGCAAAACCAAGCCCGGTTCAAGCTGAGTAACCCATGGTGATAAGCCTTTTTAGTAGTACTAAACGGGAAACACAGCCCGGTTCTAACCTCGGGAAATATAATCAAGATGACAACACCTACAGTTATAAGCCAAGTTAGAAGTTCTTAAAAAACCAAGCCAATGTTTTAGCCTTTAGGAATACAGTTGAGCTGACCAAACCCACGGTGATAGGACTTTTAGTTTTTAATGGAAAACCAAGAACCTTTCTAGCCTCAAGAAATACAGTAAAACCAATCGAACACACTATGATAGGCCTTTTTAGTAGTCATCAACGAAAAATCAAGAACCTTTTTAGCCTCAGGGAATACAGTCAAGCTGACCTTACCCATGGTGTAAGGCTTTTTTAGTCGCTCTTAACGGAAACCCAAGAACCATTCTAACCTCATGGGATACAGTCAAGCTGAAAACTAAGCCACTGTTTAGCCTCTGGGAAAAAAGTTAAGCTGACCAAACCCACGGTGATTGGCCATTTTTCTTAATGGAAAACCTTTTACAGAAGACCCTCCAAAGTTTTACAAAATCGAATTATCGAATAAAAAAAGCAGCCATTTGTTCTTTCTCGATACAAATTTCGGAAAAAAACCTTTTCACAAGCCAACCGTTCAAAAACCATTTGACCAATGCCGTTGAAAGTTCGATTTTGGATAAATTTGTAGAGTCTTCTTTGCACATTATAAGGCCTAAAGCCCTAACCCAAATAATATGTCCAGGAGATTTCTGCGTGACTTGGTCATTTTTTGGACTGGCTATTTGTCCTTTCTCTATATAAATTTCGAAAAATCATCAAAAGTCATTTACCAGCCTACCGTTCAAAAACCATTTGACCAATTCCGTGCCAAATTCGATTATGTACAGCCTTGAGGGGGGGGGGGTCTTCTTTGAACATTACAAGGCTTAGAGCCCTAACCGAAATAATATGTCCAGGAGATTTCCGCGTGGCGTGGTCATTTTTTAGACCGGCGATTTGTTCTTTCTCTATATAAATTTCGAGAAAATCATCAATTTTACGAGCCTACTGTTCTAAATCCATTTGACCAATTGGTTTGCAAATTCAATTTTGTACAACTTTCGAGAATCTTCACTGCACATGAAGAGGCCTAAAGCCCTAACCCAAATAGTATAGAGATTGCCGCGTGGCTTGGTCATTTTTTGGACCGGCGATTTGTTCTTTCTCAATATAAATTTCGGGAAAATTATTATTTTTTCGAGCCTACTGTTCAAAAACCATTTGACCAATTCGATTGTAAATTCGATTTTGTACAACTTTCGAGAACATTCTTTGCCTATGAAAAGGCCCAAAGTCCTAACCCGAGTTATATGTCAAGGAGATATCCGCGTGGCTTGGTAATTTCCATCACTGGCGATTTGTTCTTTCTCTAAGTAAATTTCAGGAAAAACAACATTTTCAGGAGCCTACCGATCAAAAACCATTTCACCAATTTCGTTGCTTTGATTTTGTACAACTTTGAAAGGCTTTCTTTACAAATTTTAAGGCTTAAATCCCTAACCTAAGAAGCATGTCCAGGAGATTTCCACATGGCCAGGTCATTTTCCGGCGATTTGCTCTTTCTGTATATAAAGTGTACGAGTATACAATTTCGAAAAAAAAAAAAAAAATACATTTCGAGCAAACCGTTCATACAGTGATCTTTCATCTTCAGTTATTTGTAAATCAGTGCTGATGTATGAAAAAACGGGCTTGAGACAGCTCGTTCTTGCAGGATTTGGTCTATGTACTGTTAGCCGTTGTAAAATGAACGCTGCGTGCTTAAAACAAGAGATGCCGGTAAGACAGAAACGATCGACTATTCTTAGTGCTTGATAGTAAAAAGCCTTGATAATGTAAAATTTTCTAAGTAAAGAAAAGGGAATTTGTTTTATTTAAATCCATATTACAGATATAGGCCTTGGAAGGAGTCCTATTATGCTCTGAAAGATGATTATAAAATTTCAACTTGTTTCAAAGCCATATGTCAATGGACTTTGAAAATATTTGAGGTATTACAAAAACTTTAACGTAAATTCTAAGTCGAAAAAGGGGCATAATTCTGTCAAAATGCTTGATACACTTACCTGCTCCTGTCTACAGGTTGGGATCATGATCGTGAACAAGTGTGCAAAGTTTTAAAGCCATATGTCAATGGACTTTGAAAACATTTGAGGTATTACAAAAACTTTAACATAAGTGGTCACGCCGACGCGCACGCCGACGCCCGGTGACTACAATAGCTCTACATATTCTTAGCGAATAGTCGAGCTAAAAAGCATCTAGTAGATTTTATTTGTTAAAAGGACCTTCTTCACAGATATCTAAGTCTCAGATTCTCTGATCTAACATTATGAAAATAAGGGCAAGCGATCCAAGTCAATGGTTGCTATTTGGACCTGTGATTTGTTTTTTGACTAAAATAGTCTAAGAAAATTCGAAAAAAAGCATCATTTTCGCGAGTCAACTGTTGAAAAATCATTTAATTACATGTAATTCTGTTTAAAAATTGATTTCGTACAATTTTTGAGGATCTTCATTGCACATTACAAGGCCTAAAGCCTTAAACCACGTAAAATGTCCAGGAGATTTCCGAGTGGTATGGTCAATTTTTGACATTGTTTGAGCCTACCGTTCAAAAACCATTTGACCAAAGCCGCTGAAAATTCAATTTTGTACAATTTTTGAGGTTATTCTTTGCACATTGGAAGGCCAAAGTAATATGTCTGGGAGATTTCACATGTCTTCGTCACTATTTGGACCAGCGTCTTGTTCTTTCCCTATACAATTTTCGGGAAGAATATCATTTTCATGAGCCTTCCGTTCAAAAACCTTTAGACAAATTCCGTTGAAAATTCGAGTGTGTACAACATGGAGGGTGTTCTTTGTACATTATAAGGCATGAAGCCCTTATCAAAACAATATGTCCAGGAGATTTCCGCGTGGTTTTGTTATTTTTGGACCAGCGATTTGTTCTTTCTGTATATAAAGCGTTGAAATTTCCGAGCATCATTTTCTCGAGCCCAACATTAAAAACCCATTTGACAAAATCCTTTAAAATTCGATTTTGTTTAAGTTTAGAAGGTCTTCCGCACATATTATAAAACGTATAGCCCTTACACAAGCAATATGTCCGTGACATTTCTGCATGACTTGTTTTTTTCTGTGTATTAAGTGTATAAAGTTTCGGAAAAATACCATATTTTTCAGCCTACCGTTCAAAAGTCATTTGACCAATTCTCTTCAAAATTCGATTTTGTACAACTATGGAGGGAGTGTCTTCTTTACATATGTTAAGGCTTTAAGCCCTAACCAAAGCTATATGTCCAGGAGATTGCTGCATGTCTAGGTCATTTTCCGTCGATTTGTTCTTTCTGTATATAAAGTGTATAAATTTTCGAAAAAAAACAAAAAAAAAAACAACAAAAAAAAAACAACAAAAAAAAACATTTCTTCGAGCCAACCAATGATAATCAGTGCTGGTATGTCTGACATAAACGCGTTTGAGAGAGCTCGATCTTGCAGGAATTTCTATTAATGGCTTATCACGGTGGGTGTGGTTATCTTGACTGTATTCCCGGAAATTAGAACCGGGCTTTGTTTTCCGCCAAGAAGTAATAAAAATGCTTATCACATTGGGTTGGTCAGCTTGACTGTATTGCATGAGGCTAGTAGGGTTCTTGGTTTCCGTTGACATCTGCAAGAAACTGGGAAATGGCACCCATTTTGTTTTCACTCGGTCTATGTGAAGACGCCGACAGGTTGCATAAATGAAACAAAATATTCTCAGTTTCTAAACCATCACAGTCTGACATTTATTGGTGTACATGTACAATATAAGTTACAAAATGTGGCTAAGATTAAATGTGAAATATTATAAGTACATGTAATTGTCAATAAATAAATGCTTTAGATCAAATAAGAAATATGAAAAAAGCATAAAAAAGAAAAAAGTAAGCGCTCTAAATTTAATATCCATATTTTAGCTAATATATAACAAATTCTTGCTATATCCTTTTAATGCTTTCTTAAAAACATATATAATCCTCTTAAAATGATACATTATCATATTTGCTGTTTATATGCAATTTGATATAAACAAGGGAGATCACTCGTTTTCATGTGAGTTACTTGAGTTGATGAAAGTTTTCTTACCCTTTTACCCCATGAGCATATTATAATCATTGAAAAGCCTCCTGTTAAAAGTTCAAACTGCTATAAAACTATAAAAAATACTTTAATACTGATGAAACTTGGCACAAATGTTGACTGGACCATAGCCTCTGTAACAGCATGCTCAATCGTAAATTTCCTGTTACCATGGCAACGGGGGGACGTCTAAAAATTGCGAAAAATCACTATTTTGCGTTATTTTTTTCAATAAAAACTGATTTTAAAGTGCTGCAAATTCTCAATAAATTGAGATGGAGTAAAAGGCTTTTCAGCGACCTGAGGTCATTTTAGCCTGTCACATATCCAAAACTCGTTTGGCGATGAGGGGGACTACCGCCCCCTTTCACCCCCCCCCCACAAACAGAAGGGGGCATATCCCCCTTCTGGCAACCCCCTAATGTACCATTTTGATAAGAGGTGGCGCCAAGAAAGTGGTCCAGTTTTTTTACAACATTTCTCAAACGAAAAACAGTGTTTGGGGTCTAAATAGGGCATTTTTCACTGTTTGAGGCCTCAAAAGGGGGGGGACAAAAAAGCCGTCAAACACACGTTTATATGAGTTAAAAGATTGGCAAAAAAATGATTAGAAACTTTGGAATTACCCAAAAACTGGGTGATCCATGTAAACACGTGCATTTACACCTAATTTTGGTGAAAACATTGTTGTTTTGTGACATTTTTTTTTTTATTTTTTTAATAAATTTACAAAATTATTAAAATTGCCACATTATATTTGGCACAGAATAAGTACAGTATAAACCCACACTCCTCCGTTATATATTTTAACTAGAACTATCAATAATGACAAAATATTTACAAATGAAATATCTACAAAAATGTATATAAATTTAAGGCTTTTATTTTAATAGACATTAATGATCTTATCCGCTGAACAAAGCAGTTTAAAGAAAAATGGTAAAGTAAAAAGCAGTACATTACAGTATAGTACAGTACATTTTCCCATTTATTTACCTTCTGCATCGCCCTAAAATCTAGCAAAAGAGGCTAGGATAAAAGTTCTCTTTGATACCTAACGATATGATTGTTTAACCAAAGCCACGCCCCCCCCCCCCCGCTCGTACTTTACATACTAAATTGAGGGGCATCAAAGCAAAGAGAGCGGTCCTATTACAAACATTAAAGAATTGACGCCGTATGATATGAACAGCGCTTGTAGACAAATATTTACTCTTTGCCTAGCTATGGGAATTTTCTTTGTTGAATTTGCAAAAATATAACATTATAACCTTAAATTTTACATTCATTACTAATCAGACACAGAACTTTTGCCAGCTAATTCTGTATAAAAAAGATAAATAGATCACGATCATGAGAATATTTTACATCAGAACAGACAAATATCACTACTGGTATTCCTTGACAATATTAGAATACTTCAGTCCTCCATCAAAAGTTTTATAAAATACTGCATGCCTACAATTGCATAATAGTATATATACGTAAAATTATAGATTTCAATAACAGTTTTACTGTCGCGTTGTTTTGGGGAATGAATTTTAAATAACATTTTATCATGTATCACAGTTACTACACACACATCCAAACACGGCTAACAGTTACCACGACACTTTTGTAGCGACTCACAAATATGTATAAGTTTTACCACACACCTCATTTACAAAAACTAATATACGTCAAACATTTACCATTTCAGGACTGACTGTTACCATTCTAAAACAATCTCCACTCGCAGTTACCACATTTATGTAACTCTACTCGCAGTTACCACAGCAAATAGATTATGGCATCACGATTCACGACTCAGATTCGTGTTCTTCGTCTTCGTTGTTCAGGCTTTGAAGAGACGCAGAATTTGTTTTAGGCTTCAGTTCATCTTCGTGCCGGCTTGTATTGTTCAGGCTTTGAAGAGACGCAGAATTTGTTTTAGGCTTCAGTTCATCTTCGTGCCGGCTTGTATTGTTCAGGCTTTGAAGAGACGCAGAATCTGTTTTAGGCTTCAGTTCATCTTCGTGCCGGCTTGTATTGTTCAGGCTTTGAAGAGACGCAGAATTTGTTTTAGGCTTCAGTTCATCTTCGTGCCGGCTTGTATTGTTCAGGCTTTGAAGAGACGCAGAATTTGTTTTAGGCTTCAGTTCATCTTCGAGCCGGCTTGTATTATTCAGGCTTTGAAGAGACGCAGAATTTGTTTTAGGCTTCAGTTCATCTTCGTGCCGGCTTGTATAAAACTTTCGCCGACGAACACAAACATAGGCTATTACCCCAATTATAATCAAGCCAGAAACAATTCCAACACCAAGTCCAATCATTAAAGGTTTCAGTGTATCGTCTTCTGGGTGTTGTGATCTACTTTCAGACGCTGTTATAGAGTTGTCATTATCCCCTTTAGGTTTGTCTGGTGATTTGGTTGTTATCTCATTTGTTCGTTTTGTTGATTTAGCAGATTTACTCGTCTTGCCGCCGGTATCTGTATTGGTGACTTCGGCTTTTGTTATTGTCACTCCTTGCTCTTGTGTAGGTTGTGGCGTGGAAGATTTTTCTGATGTGGTCGAAGACGTGACGGTTGTTGAGGTAATCGGAGACTTTGTAGAAGAGCTTGTGCTAGCGGTTGAAGAACTTGTCGTAGATGAGGATACAGTCGTCAGTGTCCCTGCAGTATCTAAGAAATATATGAAGATATTAACTGAAACTGATAATTCGCTGTTTTTCATTGTCAAGTTTAGCTGATTTGACTACATTTTTCAAAAGAGTGACTGTTATTTTGTTGACCGACAAAAAGTTAATATTGAAAAATGTTGAGGATACAATATAAATCTGCCAAAATTAAAGACTGTCACACTTTTTTTTATAAATTGAACGTAAATTCAGATGGATCCTTGCATACGGGGTTTATTTATTGTCCATGCGAATTAAAATTCTGGTAATAAACTGTTAAAAATTATTGAATACCGAAGATTGTGAAGAAGAAAAAAAAGTTCCGAAAATGACCGATTTATTACGATATTGGCGGATGGCGAAAGCATTGCAGTTATACTACATTTAGACAATTTTTCAAAATTTCTCCCTTTTGTTGTTGTAATGATTGAAAGTTATATATTCGCTAAATAAATAAAACCTGTGGTGTCCGGACCAGGCGTTTGAACTTTCTTCGTTGATTGAGTAGTCGCTTGTCTCGTCGTTTTTATTTCCGGTTGCATTGTTCTTGTATTTCCCATCGTAGTTTCTGTGAAAGATGGTTTTGGTGTGCTTTGACTTGTTTGGCGTTCCATAGTGACTTTTGGCGATGAATCCGCTTTGGTTGATGATATAGCGGCTTGTGACGTGTGTGGTAGCGATGACGTCTTCACAACAGTTGTTGATTCAGTGGTAGTTGTAACCGGCTTATTGGTTTCTGATTTGCTTGTATTTGCGACCGTTGTTTCCGGAGATTGTGTTGTTGTTGTTTCTTTCTTTATTGTCGTTTCAGTTGGAGTTTTTGTTGTTGTTGTCGTTTCAATTACAACAGTCGTTGGCGAAGACGTTTCTGTTATCTTTGTTGTTACTGTTGTTGTTGTTGTTGTTGTACCTGATGTTGAAGTAGTAGATGATGTAGTAGTGGTTGAAGAGGATGAGCTGCTCGTAACTGGAGGAGAAGTTGTATTCTTGGTGCAGTTGTGGAGACGAACATCGTCTATGGCAATATCGCTAATGTTGCTGAGAGCTCGAGTTGCAACAATTGAAATCTGAAACAAAATAAAACTTGTGATATAATTACTGGCATCCGAACTCCAAACAGCGATTTTATTTAGCGATAAAATCACTTCTCTCGGGCATATTTTCCCCTTAAATACACCATTTGTATATGTACATATAGTTAATAATAAACCATTTGTAAAATGTGAAATCAAATAAACGATTAGTAAATTGTTAATTCATACATGCAGTAAATACACCATTTGTAAAAAGTTGTTACACCATTTGTAAATTATATGTATATATACATTTAGTAAAATACAGAATTTATAACTACATGTAGTTAAAACACAATTGGTTAAATAGATAAATACACCATTTAGACATTTTCTTTTATAAAATACACCACTTTTAAATAGAAAATAAACCATTTGTGAAATAGATAAATACACCACATGTATATACATGTAATAAAATACATCATTTGTAACTAGCTAATGCACCATTTGGAAATATATGTGTAGTAAAATACATCATTTGTATATGGGTAACATTTGTAACTGGTACTACACCGTTTGTATATGTTCATGTAGTTAATGATACATCATTTGATTATGAAATAAAATACACGAATAGTAAAACTGTTTAATTCATCATTTATATATAGATATAGTAAAATACACCATTTGTAAAATAGATAATAAGCCATTTGTAAAATAGATAAAATCGCCATTTGCAAAATAGATAAATACGCCATTTGTAAAATAGATAAATACACCATTTGTAAAATAGAAAAATACGCCATTTGCAAAATAGATAAATACGCCATTTATTAAATAGATAAATACGCCATTTATTAAATAGATAAATACACGATTTGTTAAATAGATAAATACGCCATTTGTAAAATAGATAAATACGCCATTTGTTAAGTAGATAAAAAAGCCATTTGTAAAATAGATAAATACGCCATTTGTTAAATAGATAAATACACCATTTGTTTAATAGATAAAAACGCCATTTGTAAAATAGATAGATACGCCATTTGTAAAATAGATAAATACACCATTTGTTAAATAGATTAATACGCCATTTGTAAAATAGATAAATACGACATTTGTAAAATAGATAAATACATCATTTGTTAAATAGATAAATACACCATTTGTTAAATAGATAAATACACCATTTGTTAAGAAGATAAAAAGCCATTTGTAAAATAGATAAATACGCCATTTGTAAAATAGATAAATACGACATTTGTGAAATAGATAAATACACCATTTGTTAAATAGATAAATACACCATTTGTTAAATAGATAAATACACCATTTGTTAAGTAGATAAAAAGCCATTTGTAAAATAGATAAATACGCCATTTGTAAAATAGATAAATACGCCATTTGTAAAATAGATTAATACACCATTTGTAAAATAGATAAATACATCATTTGTTAAATAGATAAATACACCATTTGTAAAATAGATAATATGCCATTTATTAAATAGATAAATACACCATTTGTTAAATAGATAAATACACCATTTGTAAAATAGATAAATATGGCATTTGTAAAATAGATAAATATGGCATTTGTTAAATAGATAAATATGGCATTTGTTAAATAGATAAATATGGCATTTGTAAAATAGATAAATATGCCATTTGTTAAATAGATAAATACACCATTTGTTAAATAGATAAATACACCATTTGTAAAATAGATAAATATGGCATTTGTAAAATAGATAAATACGCCATTTGTAAAATAGATAAATACACCATTTGTTAAATAGATAAATACACCATTTGTAAAATAGATAATATGCCATTTGTTAAATAGATAAATACACCATTTGTTAAATAGATAAATACACCATTTGTAAAATAGATAATATGCCATTTGTTAAATAGATAAATACACCATTTGTTGAATAGATAAATACACCATTTGTAAAATAGATAAAAATGGCATTTGTAAAATAGATAAATATACCATTTGTTAAATAGATAAATACACCATTTGTAAAATAGATAATATGCCATTTGTTAAATAGATAAATACACCATTTGTTAAATAGATAAATACACCATTTGTAAAATAGATAAATATGGCATTTGTAAAATAGATAAATATGGCATTTGTAAAATAGAAAAATATGGCATTTGTTAAATAGATAAATATGGCATTTGTAAAATAGCAAAATACATCATTTGTAAAATAGCAAAATACATCATTTGTAAAATAGATAAATACACAATTTGTATATATATATATAGTATACCGGTTGGCAAAAAGAGTCAATATTGATATGTGTTATTTAGCAGCAGATTTTTTTTTAATTCTTATAACTTTTTTATTAGTTGATCGATGTTTTAGAATCTTTATCATTTGAAAGTTTTTTTATATGCATACTTTTTAAATATAAGTAGATTTCCATGTTTTATTTTTTTTAAATAAACTTCGGCTAATCCACGAGCGCATACGAAAAGTAGATCACCGCTAATAAGTCAGTTAGACGCTTATAGAAAACAACTTAAACAATTAAAAAAATTATATTCTGTCGCTCCGGTCCTTTAAACCTGCCAATCGTTTAATTTTTTTAGCATCACATAGATAACATTTTATTATATTTAGATATGATAAAATAGTTAACCTGGAATGGTTCGTCCTGCTTCTCGATAAAGATATTGCCTCGATGCCATTGGTCGCCCTGATTTCCATCTATATAGAATAACGGCTTTACATCATCGTCGTCTATATATTGGGACTGGTCTAAAACAAACACTTCTAGGGAGCCAACATCTTGAAAATAAAAGTGTAATTTTTAATAGAGAGCTGGTTAATATGTGAGGCAAACGATTGTGCTTTATTTCTGACCTTGTTTCAGTAAGATAACTTCATTCCAAATACGAAATATAGCACTTAAAAGCAACACTGTTTAACATAAGAAATGAATTAAAATTCTTACAAATTAATTCACATCGAGCTATTTTAACATTATCTTAGCATATAAATTATATGAAATGATGACTTTAAACATTCTGCACACGAGTAAAACCACCGACAAGCCATAAGCATATTGGAAAGCTCACTCACAGGAAAGTGTCCAGTGGACCCCTGGCAAGATTTGAACCTACGGAGCTAGTGACCATAACAACTCGGCCACGAAGTGCACAGGGTATATTGTGACTGGAAGAACATATTATTTATCAAGCTAACAAATATACAAACAAATAACACAAGTAAAACCTTTACACTTACGTCCTTTCACATCCGGGCCCAGAATATGGTACCAGAAATCGAAACACATTGGGCTGAGATCTTCTGTATACATGGGTGAAAGTAAATTAGCTTGATGACCTGTCGTCGTAGGATGCGACGTCTCAAAGTACAGGTAATGCCCTAAAATATTTAACAATATATATGATCTGGACGGGGTTTGAAAGACACTGATCTAGATTACATACACATGCCAAGTCATAATCTAAGCTTGCTATGAATTCTGTTTATACAACCGCAAAAGTAACTTGTACTTTTTGCCTAAAGCTATCAAGTCAATGGTTTACAGTATTTGCATTATATGACATTTTTAACCGCCACAGTTACGTTAATATGTTAGGTAAAAGCAAAAATACCATTTCCGGTGTCTCCTAAAGTATGGTCATGTTTAGGACCAGTATTTCCGGTTTGGGTTGCTCCAACATTCAGAATCCAGTCCTGTTCTTCGTCGTCATCTTGTTTCCAACCACAAAGATCATCCTCAAAATCACATTCGGTTAGCTCATTGGGTGCTGTTAATAAGTTTAAATTAATTTTTTTATAAATGAAGCCTAACATATCAATATAAACATTTTAAAATGCGAAATGTTGCAAGTTAGCGAAACGTTCCTTTTTCCGATGCAACTGCTTAAAGTGATTCGCGCCCCTGAAATGATATTACCCAATAAGCAATCATCGTATAAGGTAACGTTAAAATGAATTATGATGAAATTTGACTGTTAATTAAATCATTACCTCTAGACGTTTACATTATCGGAGGCATACTGCATATCATGCCCCAGGTCATTACATAACACAATATAAAAATAAAAGCAGACGAGAAATTGGTGAAGGAATATTCTAATTCAAACATCTCACTTCATTAAAGCGTAAACATAAGACCTATGCAGAAATATAATCAACGCCAAAATAAAAGTAGGAAAGGTAATACTGAAAAATGTTTGGTAAAATCCCGAAATGAATATTGAAGATTTTTTTCTTATCTTACATGATTCAGATACCTTTAGCAAATTATTTTTTATGCTTGCATGCAATGTGTGCACGAATAGCTTACCGGCACATCTAGGTAGTGGAGCGCTCCAATTTTTTCCATTACAGTACGCCAGTGTGTCGCCGATCAGTAAGTAATGATTCAGGCAGGAAAATTTTACGACAGCACCGTTTACAACTTCCATATCAAGATTTGTAACCTGACTAGGATCAAGGGGAACGCAGCCTGGCTCTAAAATTATAAATTTATACGTTTTCATCGATGATCATAAGCAAATCATAACAATAAGTGTGGTGTGTGTTACGAGATATTTGTAAGTGCATCTCTCATATACTAAAATGCTTGTTATAGACACTTGAAATAATCTTTATTTTCGAAATTCAATGTCAATATGGAACAAAATTCGAAAAAAAAAATTTGAATTAGGAGGTGTTTTTATTATTTTTTTTTTTAGGTTTAGAAAGACATGCTATATGAGATACAATTCAGAGTTGCTTTGAAAAGAAAGAAAAGAAGAACTTACTGGTGCACAGTGGCGGTTCATTGCTCCACGTCCCGTCCAACTGACATGTGGCAAACTTTGGACCATATCTTGATTTCTTTCGACATCTAAACGATGCCTTGGTGCCTTGTCGTCGATATTTTATCTTTAAGCCCGTGATATCACCTTCCGTAAACTTTGGACAGTTGGCCGCACGTTCCACTTAAATGAATTACGTTATATGATGAAGTTCGATAAAAATCGGCAAAGTTCGGCAATTTCCCCACGTTATTTAGAGCAAAGTAAATACAATTGAAAAGACAAAGAGCCAGCAACATATATCTGATACGGAAAAACACGATGTTTGCCGAACTAATTGGCATGGTTAAACATGACCTTTTAAGATAAAACAGAGGAAAAAATTCATGCATTAACATAAGTGTTGAACATTTAAAAAAAAGTGTTTGACATGCAAGATAACAAATGGCCGTTACTAAGTACAGAGTATAAACAAGTTCATACTATCTGGGTACAGTGTTCACAAAATAGAAAAAATATCTTTTTTGCCGATTCTTACATTTATCATTCATTACATGTATTTTGATATATAAATAGGTGTTAACAGATGAATTAGACATCTTAAGTGCATTGCGGCGGGCTGGAAAAGGGGAGATTTTAGCACTTTATCATACAAGCGCCTTGTCCGGCATTAAGTGTGGCGCTTCAGCACTTTTTCAGTCCTCCCAGCGTCAACAGACGTCATAGAAAAACTCGTGGATAGTTGTTCATGTGCATTACACTCCAAATTCTGAAGAATAATTGGGATTCCTCGCTGAATCCTTTTATCCAAATAGTAAATTATAAGGATTTAACTCAATACAGGATTGGAGCAGTAATTCTTGATGCTTGCAGAAATTATGATAAGAAAATATACAAATATCGTTTGTTTTTTTCGTCGATTTTACATTTTGCATTCATTATCATACTTAAATCGATGTGAACAGATGAATTGAACCTTTTAAAGTTCGTTCCGTTGGGTAAAAGGCAAGAAATTAGCATTTTATCATTCAAGCGCCTTGTCCGGTATATACCGGAAAACGGTATTTAGTGTGATGCTCCAATCCTTGTTTAGTCTCACTCAAATTGAAATACGGTCGTAACCTCTGCAAGGCGGCCCTCAGTAGATTAACATCTTCTCTGCAACACCAGTGTCGTGTCCTCCGAAAGTAATAATGTACAGTTAATTTTATATCTCTATAGCAACACTTTTCAGCAACAAAAAAGTCTTTGACTCCTAAAGGATGTTCTTCTTAAGGATGTTCTTCTAAAGCGTGTTCTCCTAAAGACGGTGTTCTCTCATAAAGCGTATTCTCTTAAAAGGTGTTCTCCTAAATGGTGTTCTCTTAAAAGGTGTTCTCCTTAAGCGTGTCCTCTTAAAAGGTGTTCTCCTAAAACATGTTCTTCTTAAGCGTGAACTTCTAATGGGCGTTACTCGGCAGAGGATGCACGCACTGATATGATTTGCTACTACGAAAATTTGCATCTGAAATATTACTTGAGAGTAGAGCCCACTTCATGTCTTTTAAAAAATAATATTATACAGTGTCAAATAGTAACTTTTTGCTACCTCTCTTCCAACAGTACTTGTTTACTTTTTACCGGAGGTGACATGTTTTGATAACAATATACAATTGATTTAATCAGAATGTTACACAAATATTTTCAAACGGAGTCTCATTTGAACTTGCTGAAAAAAAGATGCAAAGCTATCCAGGAAAGCTGATTAGGCTGATTGACGCCGAGATAAAAACAAACATGTGTCAAAATCGACTGAAAGTCAGAAAAAACAAACAAAACAAATCCATAAATCATGTTTGCTACCGAAAAATCTTCTTTCATACCTATCATTTTGTTGCAAGAAATTAATGAACTTAACTAGTTTTGCTTCATTTCTGATGAACTTCATCTCAGTTTCTATAAATAGTAACGCATCGTTGGCGCGAGCGAAAAACGTGTAATATTATGGCATTTTACGAAATGAAACTTGGAGTTTCAAACATTTTTAAAAACGGCAGTTTATATTTTTATGGTTTTATTTTTAACTGATCCAATACATTCATTCTCTATGTTATTGCATTTATACCAAAAGATAAAAGTTCAATATTTTTTATGACATGCTGATAATGTCCAAACATATCATGGTATATAATGCAAATATTTTGCTTAAATCAGTATGCAAAATTTCCATGTAACCAAGCGAACACTTTGTTTTGCAACTAAGTATATTAAGTATTAAGAGCTGTTGTCGCCTAGGTTTTCAGGTAAGGTATATTGAAACAGTTTGCCATTTTCAGATTTTCACCTTAAAGTGAATTGGTCAATAATGGAAGGTCTGTTCATATAAATTGTGGTAAAGGCACTTATAATTCAAAAATGTATAAACAACGTTTCAAAATAATAGCATGCAAAAAGTAATTCATATTTATACTAATTTTCCTATAACTTCTTTACTAATTTTCAAATTCATGCATCCTTTGATAGGAAGTCTATATTTTTCCTCAAACAATTAACGCCGCCTACACATTCCTTCTGTGGGAATATGCATGTAGGTAAAGTGTCCCGGAAAAATATAGAGTTTATTTTTAAAGACTCATGGAGCAGCGGAAAGCACTCACTATTCTTTATTCACTGCACATTACATGGCGGAACTGCGTTTCAAAGAGGAAGTCCTAAGTGTTTCCTAAAGCTTAGGACGTAAAGCTAACTATCAGACCAGTTAAGACCATTTCAACAAAATATTTTAATATTTGGTCAAATTCTTTAGGCTAAGAATAAATTCGTTCTCTTGAGAAAAGTTAAGAAATACAATGACATTCAATTTAATTCACGATTTGTTAATGCCCATCTGCATTGCTACTCAGAAATTGAAAGAATCATAACATAGGGTCTCATAAGTCTGGACATTTTTTTTAAACGCAAAATTGTCTCAGATTAGGTTCTAAGACTTTCTATGAAACGCAACTCAGAAATGTTAAGTTTTAGATTTTCTAGAACCATAGACTGGTATAGGTTCAAAACATGGTCGCATTATATAATATAGTGTCTGTTGATCATATGAAATGGATATGGAATTTTCAATTGTGCACGTCACTCGAATGACGACAAAATTATCACGTGGTTTGGCGTCACAGCATTTGGTTCCTTTACATGTATTCAAGTTATAAAAGAGAAGCACTACATTTGTGACATGTTTTATAATTCCTTTAAAATAGACACGCTCCCTAAAAGCGTGCTTTCTTTTTATGGACAATATCTTTGTAAATAACCTTTTAAGTGTTGTTCACAACAGTAAGCCAAAAGAAATAATTTAAAAACTATATGTAGCGCAAAAATATATTTTAAGATTTCAAAATTAAATGTTGTTTAAAACTGATTAACTCATGATTTAATAAGATCCCATTTAAATTAAATTTCACGTTCTACACGTACTTACCCATACAAAATTACATTGATCAAATTACTTGACTTACTTTTCTCAGATAAAAGCTTCTACATTTATAAAAACAACAACAATTGATGCAACTTGTGCGAACTCGAAATTCAACAAAGATTATATTTATTGCATAACTACTGCATCTTGTTGGAAGCACAATTCGAGCGGAAAAATTATGAAAATAAAACAATTTTACATAAAAAGGCATTGTCTTTAAAGTATGTTGACTTTAAGAATAAACTAACATTATTTTTTCTCAAATTTTGCAATACTTAATAATTGTCACTTACCTCTTTCGTAGGCTTCGGTTGCAATATAATTTAATGTCAGCACATACAATATCGTAAAAATCTCCATCCCCGGCGAAATGTAAATAATAAAGCCTTAAAAGAAAGAAAAAACACAAAACGAAAAGTTGATAATATAAATTAAAAAATCAACTTCTTCTTGCACGTAAGCACTGTACTAAAATGTGAATAGTACGTTTCGTGACTGCATTTTTGTCACCAAATCTACACCAAGTATCAACCGGTTGTTGTATTTATTTTTAATGGTAAGAACTCATGTTGTTGTTTTGTTGTAATTGTATTTGTTGTAATAAAACATGGTAGTGTTTTATGTCGCTGTTCCATTGTCATTTAAAATTTACGATGTCTTCCTTATTGTCAGTACTTCAGATGGAATGCTGGATATTATATTTGTGTCAAGGTCAAGTGAGCGGCCATTTCTTATATTCTTTTTTTTATATCATACGTGAATATTATCATATTTTATCGTTACTTATCATTATAAAGTAATACTTATCAAAGGTTAATGGTTGATGCTCTCAGATGTCTGTCAATACATTGAGATGATTATATATGTATGTAAACATACATGTTCATTTTTTAAGACACCGAGCTAAACATTATTTTAGCTTACTTATATAGTCCCCACAATGCTCTTTTCTTGTTTCGCAATCGCGAAACCATCTTTTGCATTTTAAGAAAGTGACTAAGTACATGTGTGTTGCACTCAAAACAAATTTCCATTAGCCAAACCATCTTTTGCATTTTAAGAAAGTGATTAAGTACATGTGTGTTGCACTCAAGACAAATTTCATTTTTGGTTGACAAATTATATCAAATTCTCTTTAAAACGGTTGTAAAGCACGGATTCGCTCAACTTTTCTTCAGGGGGAAATCGCATTCTTTTCTGAGGCTTTCTTCTGCACAATCGAACTAAAATAAATTCTGTATAAATCCATCTGTTTTTGTGTAAATTAGATATTAAGATCAGATTTTGAAATTTCACATCACTCTTGATAGTTTACGGAAGTTCGGTGGTTCTATTAAGGTATCCATAAAACACAAAGAGAAACAATACCCGGGAATGAAACGAAACTTGGTAGAGTACAATAGAGATTTGATATGGATTTTTGAAGTCGGAAAAGGACAACGAGGCACAAATGATAAGATTCGATCCAATATTGATTTATATTGGGAGATTACATTGTGCAAACGCTGGAGAAATCATTGTTTACATTCTATATCATGTGAAATAAATAGACTAACTTGTTTAAGAGCATCTTGTATATATCTTGTTTTAATGAAATGCAGATAATATGACAAAAATATGTATAGGTTATTTAGATGTATAATGCTTTGAGGATATTGTACATTCTTGAATACAATACTGAATTTTATTGTACGTTACATATACAATAACAAGCAATAACATAAATTATATAGCGTCAATATCAGTACTGATATTCAAGCTGTGTGTGAATCCATTAAATTTAGTATTGTTCTCAACAATAAAAAATATGTTTTTTCTAAAGGAGAAAATACGTTTTATTTTAGAAAACAATCAAAATCGACTGTGTGTTTAGTATAACATTACGACACGTAAATACGAACATAGCCGATAGCATCAATACATAGTTACTTCTAACTACAATATGGGTTTAATATAGGTTGTTTTATTTTATTTTTTTTTATTAAAAAATTTGAAAAAACCAGACTTGATAAAGTACATAATAGATTTGATATGGGACTTTTCTACTCGGAAAATGAAAACGAGGCTATTTTTAATGAATTTAGATGCAATAATGAACACATGTATATTCGAATACCGGAAGGTCATTGTGATGCAAACGCTGCACGTTTATTGGTTAAATTTTATTAAAATGTGAAATAAAACATTTTATACATCATGCTCTACAACACGCACTTTTAAACGTCGTTGCATAATTAACTACTAAATAGAACTCAATGCTTCACTTTTAAATTAGACTCTTCACTTTCAAAGATGAGATACTATGAACCACTTAAAGAACAATCATAAGCTATTTCTAATATATAACGTTTGTTATTTAACATAATTGTTACTATAAATGCAATAATGTACACATCTAGCACTTATTCCATGAAAAGTAAATTAAATATAAGGAGCACAGCTAACTACGGTGTCTTTATCGCGCCATTTTCAATGTCGTCGGTCGTGGAAAGAAGAGGGCGCTCGACAAAACAAAGTAACATCGCGACAATGCGAACAAATCCCTATTGACAGAATATAAATACTGAACAATATTAATTGTGAAATCCAGAATTTAGCGTGAAATATGTTTAATATACTGAGGCGAAAATAGAATGGGCTGTCATACAAAAGAAAATAGACTGCACTTATTTAAAGTTACAATAATGCATCCCCAAATAACAAAGTTAAGCGCTTTTACAAACCCATAAACCTTTATGTTATGCAGCGATATCCCACAAGGCATCTGTTTTGTGTTGGAGGGAAATATCCGAACTGTTATAATACAAACGTTTTCAGGATATTCACACTGTCAGCATAGCAAGCTGCTATCAATTCCACCAATAGACCAGATTTTTAAAGCGAGTCTACAGATAGTTCCTGAGTTTAACAATTTTTACCTCCCTTGCAACAACTGGCACATTTCTGTGAAAAGGGGTATAATAACTCGGTAAAACAATTCTATCATTTCCCATAAACAGCTATAAAAAGTAATTTTCGCATCATGACAGGGAATAAACAAAAATCATGTTGTTGTTGTTGATGATGTTATTGTCGTTGTTGTTGTTGTTGTTTAATTGTTTTCATTGTTTCATCGATTATTTACTATAATCATGCAAAGTTTGAAAAATCCCTATGCTAGTTTTAAGCTTCTTTGCCTGTGAACTATTTCACTATGAGGGACTTATAACATAAAAATAAACTTGTATCTTTTTTTGCGAGCACAGGGAGTGATTATTATAACCAGTCATCTGAAAATGATGGGATAATTAGGAAACAGATATCTTTATAAGTGTGTTTTTGTTTGAGTTCAAATGCACAGGAATATAATCACGAAAACTCACGACATTTGAATGATAAACCGTCCATTATTATACCACGACAAAATACATGTAAATAGATTGTGATTTGTTAAAATAATTATCACTTCGTTATATTACGTCAATTGGTTAAGAGACGTCATATCTGACGTCATATGACGTATATGCATTCCTTTTTAATGCCGTGCAAATATAGTGCTATAATGCTATCAACTGCCCTCTCTTTTTAATAGGGGGGACAAAGTGAATCGTGTTGGAATAACTCGCAAATGGGGATACTTTCATCGTCTCATTTAACACTTATTTTCCGACACTATTGCGTTTTAAACTTTAACTGTAAATTCTTTCCTTTAAGTGATACTTGACCAAATTGTGATGTTGACATTGTATTCTTCTTTAACAATTACGTGTTGTTATTTTATATTGTAAGTGGATAGAAATTCTTATTTTCAAATGTTTCTCCAATCGGAGAGAGGCGCATATAACTTCCTTGATTCTGACTTTTTTCTTTCGTTTTCCTGTAACACCAACATTTTTTATAGTTTCAAAAATACAAGTTTACAATTTTGTCCATGAAAACACAGAGGTGAGTCACGTGACCTGGTTGTTAAGGTGTCTGCCTCTAAACCAAAGGGGTTCAATTCCGAATATGATAACGTCAATATTTAAACAAATGACACTAGAACTACACACTAGAGAGTGCATAAAATAAAATCGAAAGTTCATCACATTTGAGCAAAAACAAATGTATTTGGATTAAGTACTTAAGTGAATTTGTAATTTTTGTTGTTGTTGTTTGTTTGTTTGCTGTTATACATTTGAAAAATGTACCTTTGATCTTGACGATACTACAAAATAAAACGCAATAGAATTAAAATGAGTCATTCATATTAAGGTATTACCTCCACCATGATACTCGTATAAGATCGTGACAGATCGGTATATTTCGACAGTTTCCGTGCTTTTATGCCAAATTATTTAAAGCAGCACGCCTCCAGATTCATGTTAAATTTCATGAAAATTTTGATAATGTATTTGACAGTAAAATATTGTGAGGTAAACAAAATAAAGTTATTAACATATTGCAATTTGCACTTACAATCCATGCAAATAACCAAAAAGAAGTCAAAATGTGCAAAAAAGCCCTTCCTGCGTTAGTAACGCAGTAAAAATATGGTGATAAAACACTGCAAAATCAATCTTAAATCGCAAATAACATGTAAACTTTAACATTTATCTTGGTTTTACCTTTCTTGAAATATTAGTACATTTTTCTCAATTTTCATTTTCTTGAAATATTTTGGCTCATCTGGAGGCGTGCAGCTTTAAACGAAGAGACAAAACTACGTGATAATGATTTTATAAACTATATGACTATATAATTATGTATGTGGAAACACATACATGACACATGTATTCGTCATACATTTTCTGTATTTTGCCAAGATAGACATTTTAGAATTCAAGAAATAATAACCGTTCTATTGTATGGGGGCTATTCGTTGCCAAAAATCCAGCCTTTAAAACTTGACAATGCATACTTCGGTTCTACTAAACAGATTAGTAAAAATCTAATTGTCGATCCGAGAGTTACAAACTGCACTGGTATTAAGCATTTTGATTATCTCGATTTGATAAAATGAAAGCTGTTAACATGCAACTTAGATAAATTGCAAACTGTATTTATAAATGTATAACTTCAAATTTGCGACATGTAGAAATGTAAACGATAGAACGTACACAATACGTTTAATGCTGTGCACCATGACGTTGAGAATGTAACTGCATCTGACAACTTGACACACTCAGGTTTACGACACCACAATTTCCTTTTACATTCTAACGCGATTGACATTTGTAAACGATTTTGCAACTTCCATATATGGAATTATTACGGAAATAGACGAAAATAAATAGGCGGGGCCAATTTTCACGAAAGCAGAATATAAAGAGAGGTAACTCTTGCTTGTACAAAAATATTTCAAATTATATAGAAACTGTTATAAATTTCACACACATCAATTGCATTACAGCTGACTTTGAACATCCGCTGATTTTGTTAAAACGTTTTCTAGTACAGGATATTCAAGTAATGCAAAATTGGTTAAGATATATTGTAACACTGTAACAACGTATATAGATCTACTGATAATGAGCATAATAATATGCAAAAACTAAAGTTGGTGAATTAACATAATGGAATATTTCCCATATACAATGACACACACCACTACTTGTTGATATGAACGATAGGGTTTGTGGGCATGGCAATAAACGTTATCATA